CGCAGGCCCTGTTGAGATGGCAGGTACAAGAGGATGGGGGGAGGGGGGGTTGTAGGGGGGGTTGCTTCGGGGGGCGGGACGCGAGAGGGCTCACGGGGGAGAAAGGGTTTGTGGCATCGTTTATGACTGTGTTCGGGGCAGGACGCCATGAGCGTGCGGGGTTTGTTTGACTGCCGTGGGAGCGATCGTCATACAAGTGTTGTTTTCTGGTATCATTGATGAGTGTGTTCGGGGCAGGACGCCATGTGGAAGTCTCTTTATTGGCAACTTTTTTTTGTTCGCTCGATTTCGGCATGCCACTGTTCAGAGGTGGCATGCGTAGTAGAAGGTGTGCATTGGTAGCGCAGCGAAATTTCTTAATGGTTGATGTTCTTTTTTATCTTCGCAACGATGCGTGGTCTTCTTTTTTCATTCCATCCATCACTTCTTTTTTTGCACGGCGGGTACGGTTTCATCTCTCATTGTCTGTTGAATGTGCGTGGCAACAAAGTTATGCGTCATGGTTCGTGCGTATCGAACGTCCAATCCATCCTTCCGCCTTCGTTTCCTAATAAAAAAAAAACAAAAAATAAAATTTAAAATATACAAAAATAAAACAAAAATACAAATTAAAAAAATACAACACACCACATTGGAGCGAGAGCGGTAAACGAACAGGAAACGCAAAGGTCGATGCAGGCAAAGCGGTGAACAATCTTGGAAACGAAGGACCAAAACAACTGTGTTGCAAACCCATGCAATAGCAGCTCCCTTCAACATAACAACAAGAGAAATGCGGAATGAACAGTTTTTTGCATACACCGTTGTGAGCGAAGGAAACTCAAATCTTAAAAAGGGATTCCCCTTAGAATGCAAAAGCATTTCCAGGTACCAGCAACGTTGCATTGTTTCCAATCAAACCCCTCACCCCACCCTCCCCCCGCCCCCCTCCACCCGTCGTCCCCCGTCATCAGAAGTACTGCACGTTGCACACATGGCACGTGCAACACCACCACGCGCACCCGCCTAACGGCAATATACGCAACCACCAACTATACTACCTGAGCGAACAATAATGCTAACCTGCCCGTAGTCCCTGTTATTGGACAAGGCATTAAAAAAAAAAAAAAAAAAAAAAAAAAACTAAAAACCAAGCAACAGCGTACATAAGCTAGTCGTCGTCACTCAACACTGGACAACTAACCGCACCGACCACGCGAGACACGCCAGCCACATCTCGCTCGAACGACGCTACCACGGCCGGACTGCCATCGTCAACCGCCTCTTGCTGTGGGACGGTCACCTCCCCTTCCTCCTGCCACCGGATCTCCTCAGTGCTCCCCCGCTTCTCACAGCTTCGTCCCTCAGACTCGTTCCATTCATGGTGGGGTCTCCAACTACGAACACGGCCAACCTCACTGCGCAATCATCCGCTCCGCCAACGCGTCCCTCAATATCAGCGCATCCCCCGTCGAAGACTCCATGCACACTGGCCTCAATGGCTGATGCATCCCCAGATCCACTCTACGACGCACGCCGTCTGGACCCACCTCCGACAGCAGATTGTCGTCAAACAGGACGCCGGCGTCGACGAGTATGTTGTGGAGGATGCAGACGGCGACGAATTGTTGCGGCAAGCTGTGCATGTTGCACTTGTGGGCGCGGAGGAACAACTTCCACATCCCCTTCAGTCTGCCAAACGCCCTCTCCACTACTCCCCTGGCCGTCTTCTATTTGTTGTCGAAGCGTGCCTCCGTCGGGTGTTGCGCGAGACCGCCGTAAGGGACGACTATCCATTCCGACTGCGGATAACTGTTGTCGCCGAGCAAGTAGCCATTAGTCCGCACACCGAAAGGCAGCATCACATGCGGCCCAGTGAAAAGTTGTTTTGACTCCGCGCGCACCCACAAACTCGACAGGTTCAGCATCCTCATGTCATGCACACTCCCCGAATAACCGACGAAGACGTCCAGCACACGCAAGTTCATGTCAACCACCACTTGCGCCTGCACGGAGAATCGACGTCTCCTGTCGCAGTAGTCCTCACCGTTGGCGTTCGCGGGTTTGTCGATGTAGATATGTGTGCAGTCGATGCACCCATTGCAGTTTGGAAACCCCTTGTCCGGGAAGGCGCACAACACGTCCGCCTTCTTCAAACCTGTGGGCCATGATATCTTGTCGGGGTAAGCAGTCAACAACGCCGCCGTGACGTCATGCACCGCCGTGATGCCGGAAGCCCTCCCGATGCCGAAGCTACACGTCCCGCTGTCGTACGTCTCCCCCGTGGCCCACCTGTACAGTGCATAGGCAATGATGTGGTCTGGCTGCAAAGGCACCCTGTAGAACGTCACACGGCATTGAAGGAGTGGGGAAAGAGTCTCCGCGATCTCGCGGAAAACACGAGGCAACATTCGAAGCTTCTCCTTAAAGTAATCATCCGTTGCGTCATCACATTGCCGCAGATCCTCCCTCGTGCCGCCCGTTCGCCGCTTCACCCACCACTGTGCAGTCGCCCGTGGAAACCCCCCGCACCCCATCGCGTAGCAGACCTCCAGCACCGCGTCGGAAATGGCAGCCACATCCAAGCACTGCCCAGTCGTCGGAAGCGCCAATAGCTTGCGCCGTGCACGAACAGCCGCTTTGAAGTTCGCGTCATTGCTCGCCATCTGGCAGCGGAAGAGGACGGCATTAACCACCACAGCAATAGCCGTCCTCTCCGCCGTCGTCAAACCGCCGCGCCCTGCCCCGCCGTCAACGTCCATCCCAAACGCCGCTTCCGATGACATCACGTCAATCAAACCACTGGACTCCACAAACACCGCCACGCGGAAGATCACAGCGTCGGTGGCTGTGCAATATCTTGGGAGCCACGCACTGACGAAGGTCGTCTGCCTTTCCCAACGCTCACGTATCGATGTCGTCTCCCTTGCCGCCAACGCGTAGACGACCGTGCTCATCGACGACAACCGCAGGGGACNGCTCACGTATCGATGTCGTCTCCCTTGCCGCCAACGCGTAGACGACCGTGCTCATCGACGACAACCGCAGGGGACAATCGTCACTTATGCGAATGCCACGAACGCCAGCCGCAGACGCAACCAGGCGTGAAACGTACGTCCTCCACGCGATGGTCGTCTGCCTTTCCCAACGCTCACGTATCGATGTCGTCTCCCTTGCCGCCAACGCGTAGACGACCGTGCTCATCGACGACAACCACAGGGGACAATCGTCACTTATGCGAACGCCACGAACGCCAGCCGCAGACGCAACCAGGCGTGAAACGTACGTCCTCCACGCGCCGCCGATCGCAAAGCCTGATTTCAAATTTCAAATTTTGAACAGGAGCGCTGCGCGCCATTTCCAAGGGCCCCGGTTTTGTTTTTTTCTCGTTTCCCGCCCTCCTTCGAATTCGCGTCGGCCAACAAAGGTGGACCGCTGCCGTCCGCACGGACACAACTCGGTGGACCACCGTCAGCCCCACCCCCACGTCCGCTTGTGCATATATAAATCGGGGCCGTGGGAGCCCCGAGGAATCGTCCTCGGGGGTCGACTCCAAGGATGAGTGGAACGAAGGCGACAATTTCCTCGGGCGACTCCGAGGAATCGTCCTCGGGGCCCGAGGACGCCCTGAGGAGTGTCGAACGAGCCCCTTTTTTTTCTTTTTTTTTCTGGTCGGTCGCGCCGCGGCGGCAAGGAGATTTTTTTTTTTCCCGTCGGTCACGCTGCGCCGCGTCGTGCTGTGGCTGGAAAAAAAAAAAAAAAAAAAAAACCCATCGTCAGGCCACGGCCGGGGTTTGGCCTATACATCTGGGCCATGGCCAATCTGGGGTGTGGCCGAGACATCTCGGCCGTGGCCAATCTGGGATGTGGCCGAGACATCTCGGCCGTGGCCAATCTGGGGTGTGACCGAGACATCTCGGCCGTGGCCAATCTGGGGTGTGGCCGAGACATCTCGACCGTGGCCAATCTGGGGTGGCTGAGACATCTCGGCCGTGGCCCGACCATGGGGCCGATACACCTTTTTTTTTTTCATTTTTTTTTCAGCCTTGGCACGGCGCGGCGCGGTGCGACTGACCGGAAAAAAAAAAAGCAAAAAAGAAAAAAGACACAACCGCCTTTATGAAACCTCCGCCCTGACACCACTGCAGGCCTGAGTTACGAACGCCTTTTCGAACTTGGGCCCTGACACAGTCGCCAAAGGCCTGTTTTTCGTGCCTTTAGGAACTCAAAACATGCCGCATCGGCCGTAGTTTCTGTTTTTTATTTTAAGGACGACGGCCTTGAGTAGTTATCGTGTGAACTGACCGTCCCCAGGTAACTGCAGTGTTTACTCGTCTGCTCCAATGGAGCTTGAACTCAGGTCTTCATTTCAGTAGTTCAGTGGTGTACCAACTGAACACATTGTCAAGGGAAAAGACACCTTGTTTTTCCACTTTTTCTTTTAAAGCCCACACAGTGCACACACATAGGTGCCYGGGCGKCAGTCYTGCTGGATGAAACAATTAGAAGTCRTGAACCCACACCGCAAAAAGCTCACCACCGGGGTAACTGTGGTGACTGGCCGGCCCACGGCCTGGAGACTTCCGTKGGTAGACACCCCAAGGGTCTTCCCACTCTTGGCCAGAGTTCCCCCCTATGGGATTTATCCTCGTCTCTTATCACTTCTTATCTGTTCTCAGGCGGCCTCACCACATCCTTATGTCTGTGCTTCCTGATATTCCATAGTATTCCATACTGTTTTGTTACTTGCCCTATTACTTATCCAGCTCTCCCTGTCCCTTTTCCTCCACAGTCAGTGATGTAAGGGTGTAACCCCGTCCCG